CTTTTCCTCATCCCAAGTTCTTTTGCTTTCCGTCTGAGTCTGGTTGAGTTTTTTGTATGTTGCCTGTTTTTCCTCCCTCTCCTTAAGGATGATAATTGCTTGGACTCTTGCCTGGATTCCTTCCGTTTTTTCCGGTATTCTTCTTCCATCTGTTCCCTGACGGAGTCCAAGGCCCACAGCAGATTCTCCCCGACTTTCTCCTCCAAAATCACTCGAGAGTCGTTGAGGGGAATAGCTCTGATTTTTGTTGGGTTCCCAGTCTCATACCCTGTGGCCTTCTTCTGCCACCTGCTGTCTGCAGGTGGGAAGATGTCCGGCATTTTGGTTGCAGGTTCTTTGTCCGTGAAGTGCCAGACCCAGCCGTCATAGGTTGGGTCTACAATGTACCAGGTACCTGGAGCGTCCTCCACCTCAACCAACATGTTGGGGTGGAGTTTTCTTTCCTTCTGTTGTTTGGGAAACTTGGGGCATGCAGGGTCCGACCCTACGTGGCCCCTCTCTCTGCACCTAAAGCAAATGGGTGATATTTTTGTTGAGACGGCATACTTGCAAGCGGATGGACCGGACGAGCGTCCGGTCTGGTCTGCTTTGCGGCGTGTGGCGCCCTCCCCCCGGACCGGACGGGGCCGCTTTTTTTTTTGGGGGGGGGGGGGGGGTGCGGGTCTGGTCCGGCGGTCCGCCGCACGTGCGGAACTGCCCGGACGGCGTCAGCTTGCAAGTATGTGAGACCGTAATTTCCACCTCCCTGTCGTTGATCTGCAGTATCCATTCTGACAGAAAAAACGGCGGGTCGTGAGTTTTCACCTCCAGGATGGCAGTCATCGTACCCGAGTGTGGGGGTAAAAAGTCCGGCCTCGGTATGATCCATTTAAATCACCAGTACTTGGCCCATACATCGGCCGCGGGCCCTTAGCGTTAACGCTACGCGTTTCCCGTGCTTCGGCAAAGGCTTGGCATGGCAATGGGGGAGGGAGCTGGTGGCCCCATGAAAACGGGGCAAAAGGACTGCACAATGTCCTGGTGGTGTGCTATGTGGAAACGCACGGACACTGAAATCAACGAGGGGGAAAACAGAAACGAAAAGGAAAAAAAAAAAATGAAACAGATTGTTGACACCTCGTAGTCAGACTCCCCGTTGGACACGGGGAGCATTGAATGCCAGGCAGTGTAAAGTCCACACTCTCCCAAATGTATCTGGACGTAAAACGCGACATGTGAGTGCATAGCTTGGTTTCCCTTTTCACCTTTTTTTTTTTTTTTTGCCTTTTCTGAAGAAGATCGTTGGCACTTCGTGATCTGACTCCCCGTTGGACACGGGGAGCATTGAGTGCCTGGCAGTGTAACGTTCACACTCTCCCAAATGTATCTAGATGTAAAACGCATCATGTGAGTGCATAGCTTGGTTTCCGTTTTCACCCGTTTTTTTTTTTGTTTTTTTTTTGAAGAAGAAGATCTTTCGCACTGGCTGCACTCCTGGCGAGGCTTCGGGTGCCACCTGAGTGGAAACAAGAAAATGACGGCCTGTTTACGTTCCATCTGCTGGCAGCAGGTCCAGCATAAGGGGCGGCACCTGCTTGAAGCAACAAATGTCCCGTATTTTTTCCCATTCAGTGCAGGCTCAGCAAAAATCGGCGCGCAGGGCATATTCAGGCTCGGCTTCAATAGCTGGGCCAAGTACTGGTGGTTTAAGGATTTTATTGGCCGGATACTGTCTCTCGAGTCTGTCCACCACCAGCCCGTGGTATCCCGGCTAAATCCTGTCGAATTGTACCCAGAGTTTTTCTTTCAACAGAGTTTGCGTGTATGAAACCGAAAAGGATGGGTTGGGCCTTGTATTTGTCTGCTTTTTCCACGGGGAGATCGTGCAAAATTGAGCCGTTACAATTCCTGGATTTCATTTTAGCTGCCAACTGTGCGTGATCTTCAGAATTGAAGATCACCATCACAGCTGTGCGGCCCAGGCTCATCAAAGAAAAGGAATCCTTTGCAACTTTTAGTTTGTCTTCCTTGTTGATTGTTGCAGTGATCCATTTCCGCTTTTCTGCTGGCATCAGATCTGCCCCACTTCTGGCAAAGTTGAATACAACTGCATGTTTTTCGTGGAACTCGTCAAACTCTGGGGATTTGCCATCTGGGTATTTCCAAATCACTGTTTCCTCCTCTTTACCTTCCATGTTCTTGTGTTTTCTAATTACTACTTCCCCTCGCACCTTGTTTTTTTGGATGAGAAATTTTAAAGCCTCATTGTCGATAACTGTGGCGAGTGCTTTGCTTGTTTGTGATGTGTGACTGCTTGCGTTAGAGCCTTGGAGTGTTTGCTTGAATGTTGCTGGCGCCCTGGCATTCCTGGGGCTCTGCATTGCTGCTTTTACAAGCTTCGACCTGTGTCTTTTATCGCGACTCTGTATGCAGGATTGTTTAGAATTTGATAGACACTGACTTGTCGGCTGGGCTATGACGTCAGTGTTACCTGAGAGCCTGAGAGGATCGGTGTGGGGAGAGGGAGAGAGAGGGGTCGAGAGGGCGGTTTGTTGTTGTTGTTGTCGTTATTGTTGTTGTTGTTGTTGTTGTTTTTCTTTTTCCCCCCTTCTAAGCTATAGGTTATTCAATCGTGTATCAGCACCTGTTGCGGGTATTTAGGCAGAAGGCAGAAAGCAGAAGGGGGAAGTGGGATCTCACCGATGAAATGGGTTGTATGGGTCTTAGGAGGGGGGGAAGGATGGCAGAAAAAGTCGAAGGAGGGGAGAGAACCGATTGTGGGGGATGGATGGTCAATGGTGGGATAGTGGGATAGTGTGATTCAGTGGGGGGCTCGTAAGGCAAGCAGGGAGGGTTATGCCGCACACGGTGGAGCATAAGCTTTTGTGGAGGTTGGGGTTGTAGTTTGGATGGGTTGTGAGTCGGTGGTTAGGGTTGTGGGTACTGGGGCGTCGGGGCAATCAGTGTCGAAAGAGAGGAATAGTAATATTTTGTCTACCACTGGAAGGGGGGAACATATGTGTGGGGTGAGTTAGGGGGAGGGGAGCGGGGGGTGGAATAAGTCGATGAGTAGGGCGATGAGAAGGGATGTAGGTGGTCAGTATGGTAGTGAGAGTGAGAGTGTCAGATATGTCTCACTTCGCAATGAAGAATCCCGTCAAGTCCTGCTATTAACTTTTCTTGCCTTCCTATGTGGTCGCGTCCAAAAGTAGATGGCCGTAGTCGCAATCGTGGTTACATTCGTCTTTGAATGAAGCCCCTGGTGTAGACTGCCGTTCCCACGTCTTACTTCTTGTGTCTTTCCCGGGGGGTCCTTGTGTCAGTGACAGTGACACGCAGAGGACTCCAGCGGGATCGTAACGCTCCTTTTCCGTAATTGGAAAGGCACGTCCGTGGTCCTC